AAACATGTGTTGTTGGGCATGTAAGCCCAGCAATTTGGGAAGATGAGATAGGAGGATTATGAGTTAAGGGGCCAGCCTGGACTACATAGTGAAACCCTAATTTTTTTTTTGGGGGGGGGGGTTTCGAGACAGGGTTTCTCTGTGTAGCTTTGCGCCTTTCCTGGAACTCACTTGGTAGCCCAGGCTGGCCTCGAACTCACAGAGATCCGCCTGGCTCTGCCTCCCGAGTGCTGGGATTAAAGGCGTGCGCCACCACCGCCCAGCTTGAAACCCTAATTTTTAACAACAAAATTTTTTGTCTTTAGCCAAACACAGCAGCCTATCCCCAGCGGTTAGGGAAGTGGAGGAGCTTAGAAGATATCACGTGGGTCCAGGAGTTTGAGACCAGCCTGGGCAACATAGTGAACCTCTTTTTTCAAAGAAATTCTTATTTTAAACAATTTATTTTGAAAGAGCTACGTAACAAATCTAAGTAAAAATTACTTAAAATCAACGGATACATACTCTATAAATAAAGTCTGCAAACATTACTACAGAATTACATCATTACTGAACAAATTCTAGTAAAGAAAAAAACTTTCTAAAGCAGCCCTTCATGAGCAGCTGTGTGGCTCAGTGACAGACTGCTTGCTAGTTGCATGAGGTTCTGGTTTGGATCCTGAGAACAAGCAAGCAAACAAAAATCATTAACAACAGCCTGTGCATCAGCACTAAGCACTTAACTGTTCTAGATACAAGGCCATGAGGACAAGACCATATGGACATCTACCACTGCTTGAAGAGCTCTTGAAATAAAATGACTTAATGATTCCACATGGCTACCCAAAACTCCCCTAACTTTCCTGAAAGTTGCAAAGCACCGAAGTTCCAGTTACCCCTGTGTGCACCATGAAGTTGTGGCAATATGAGAATTTGTGACCAGATCAATAGATAACCACTAAAAAAAAGCCATTTAAAACGTTCAATTTGGACCAAATCAAAAAGATGTAACTTACAGAGAACTACTAAGATGACACAACAAATTACCTGTGCCCAAAAACCAAGACCAATTTTTTTTATTTATTCAAATATATACTGTAGCTACTACTGCAAACTTGATCATTATTACCAAGAACTCTCCAGTCCCAAAACAAATGTGCAAACATAGTAAGGGTGAAACAAAAAGGAATAGTTTTTTTTTTTAAATCTGATACCATAAGTAATTGTGTTTGCAGCGAACAAATGAACAGGTATTCACTATTAATACAATGTGAGAATTAATGATAGTTCAATTTTACCATAGCTTTCAATCTAATAGAAAGACAAATGAATTATAAAACAATATACACACATGCATAGATGTTCAGATTAACAAAGCAATGTTCTGCTTTCATTGCTTAATTTTGTTATATTCCAGCTAGTATTTTGAAAATCTAGTCCTAGAAAAGCTGCCTCAGCAATTTGTTCCTCTTGATTAGCTAAGCACCCGCCCCCCAAAAGCTCTTTTTAAAGTCTTGATATTCAAAAATACTAAGTGCAAAATCACTGAGATGCTGGATCATAAGAACATTACTTGAGGGCTGGAGATAAAGCCTAGTATGGGCAAGATTCAGAGTTCCATTTCTAGCATGGCCAGAAAAAACTTTGAACAAGCAGTTCATTTCAACAAATATGTGCATTTAAGTATTTCAAAGTAATTTACATACTCAGTTACACAAAGGTGACAACCGTGGAAGAGGTAACCATCCCACAGAAATAAAATACGAATCGTGTACGTAACTTAATAGAGCCATATTAAATGAAAACAGGTGCTATTTTAACATACTTAAAACCCAAGATGCCCAAAATATTATTTCAATATGTAATTAGTATTTTTAAAACTGTTAATGTTTTGTATTTTTTCAAACTACCTCAATTCTGACTACAGTATTTCAGTTTCAGTGGCTGCTAACTACCATTTTGGAAAAGGAGCACATTCTTAGAAAGCAAAAGTGATAGAAATCAGCTTCAGTCTTTTTTGCAGCAATCATCCCAATTCAGTCCTCCACATTCCTAGATTAATAATTTACAACTAGTAATAATTTTGAGAACTACCTATTTGTGCTTAAGAAAATCACACCATACAGCTGGGCATCTTAGCTCAAACCTATAATCCCAACATTTAGGAAGCAGAAAGATTAGAAATGCAAAACCATTTTCGTCCACATAGCAAGTTTAAGTGTGGGGGGTAGGGGAGAAACTACTAAATAACAGTTAAATAAGCTCCAGGGAGGCAAAAACAGACTAGGAATTATGAATCAACCTGATTTATGGAGCTGCAACAGGGCTTCTGATTTCCCCAAATGGTGTTTACTATCTGTGGCTGAAACTAAGTTAGAAATGCATGTATGTGTACAACCTCTAAGAAGCATCTAAGAAGCAATCTGAATTCAAAGTACTGGCTGTTGTTAGAGCTAGACAGGCTCTAGAAAACTCACAAAACTTCTCAATGTTCATCAACTTTTACAAATGTCAGAAAAATACAATTATCTCATACTGCAGATGAACAAACTAAAACCTCACAACTACCCACTACAAAACTAAGAATCATTCTTAATAGTGTGATAGAAAATACAACCACTAAGTCATAATCTAGTTAAATTCAGGCTCACAAGATGGCTCAGCAGGTAAAGGCACTTGCCACACAAGCTTAGTGACCCGAAGAAGTGACTCCACAAAGTTGGCTTTTGGGCCTCCACACTGGTGCCTGTGGCACTTACCCACATTCAAACACATACAAAGACAAAGTCCATTGCTCAAAACTATCCTTTCAAGAAGTTTAAGAAAGTATTATAAACTAAGCAATTGGAAGTGAAAAACAGAGCTAAATAACCACTTAAGATACAGCATAATCTTGGACAAACTACATCATCATTCCTTGAATATAAAATGAGTAAGTGCATACCTCATGGACCAAGTATGGCAGGATACATCTTTATATCCCATCATTCCAGAGGAAGGGGCAAGTGGATCTGTGATTACCAGATTAACACATCTATAATGAGTTCCAGGCCAGCCAGTGCTACACAGTGAGACCCTGTCTCAAAAATAAAAAAACCCACACAAAACCATACCTCATGAAATCCCTGAGTATGCAGGAAATACATGTGGAAGCTTAAAAGATCATCTAATAACAGGCTGTCAAGCTATTCTCTTACAAAAGACACACAAACATGATATATAAATATATAGGTACATCAAGAAAAACAGTCGAGCCTTATCTATTTCTAGACAGTTCTTATAGCTTTTGTCTTCAGATGCTTTACTATGTATTTCTCCTATAAATAAAAAAATGAAACCACGGGTATTTATGTCTTTTTAAAAAATGAATCCAATAGTCAGGTACAGTGGTGCATGCCTATAATTCCAGCACTGGAGAAGCAGAGACAGGAAAATCATTAATTCAAGGGTAGTCTGAGCTAAACATATAGCAAGTTCCAAGCCATCTTGAAATATTCCAGACCCTGTCCCAAAATAACAAGCCTTCAGTTTCTTTCCCCCTTTTAAACAGCCACATTTGGCCACTATTGCTGAACAAAATAAAAATTGTAAATTGGGTTATGGTTGTACAGGCCTATAATCCCAACCAATATTCAGTAGGTAAGGCAGGATTGCAAATTCGAAGCCAAAGTTATGTACAACTCTATCTCAAAACCCTGAAGTTATTGAGACCATTCATTTCCACTTAAATTTTAACATTTATAGAAGCCATATTTTAAATACTTACAACTCAAAACCATCTTATTATATCTGAATCTATATATTTTAACAAAGAGCTCTATCTAATACAAAGGTAGCTACCATATCTCCCTCAAATACTAAATCTAGAGTTGGTGAGGGAGTTGGTTGACATGGTTGTATAAGCTCACTAGTTTAGCCTACATTGGCCTGAAATTTAAAAAAAAAGTATTGTTCATTTGTGTGTGCATCCCAGCACTCTCCAGAGGCAGAGGCAGGAGGATCTGTGGGATTGAGGCCAGCCTGGTCCAAGGTTAGAGGAGAACTTGAGGGAGTCTATTCTTTCCTTCATGTGGACTGCCTGGATTAAACTCATAGATTGTCAGGCTTGGCAGCAAGTAAGCACCTTAACCCGCTGATTCATCTCTCTAGCTACTGTTCTTTTTCTGACCTAGAATGCTGATGTTCCTGCCTCTGCCTCTCAAGTGCTGGAATTTCAGGCATGTGCCACCAGGCCTGGCTTTCAACTAAGATTTTGTACTCACTGAAAAGTCATTTATGTCCTTAGCACACTACTTCACTGCTAATTTAGTGTTCGTCGTTAGTGATAAAATACCTACTTCACAATTTCATTATTGACCTCAATTTTTACTTTTAATGGTAAGTTAAATAAGGGATTAATTATGGATCTATTACAATACTTGGAGATGTGTCAATTATATAGTTAAAGCAGAGAACTCTAAATGTAATTAATTCCATCTACTTACTATAGAAAAGGCCCCAAATTTCATTTCACCTGTACAGACAGAAAAATTCCTCCACAAGAGCCAAAAACTGAGTGATTTGCTCAACGTCTACTTAAAATTGTTATTTAATGTGGCAGTATACACCGCAGACATAAAGCATTAAAGCTGCAAGTGCAACTACCATAAAACCATTGTATGTTCAGCCCAAAACTATACAATGCAGTGACATTACAAAATTTCATGTCACTGGGTTGGGCATGACACTTGCAAAGTTATTCCAGCGACTAAGACAAAAGAATCACAGGAGTCCAAAGGCTCTTTTCAAACCAGAAACCTCAAAGGTTTAGTGTCATATACATCAGCTAAAAAGCATGTTAACGATGAAAATGGGTGTAAGGTTTATTTTGGGGTAATGGAGTATGTGACAGTTGGTTTTAGTTTATCAATTTTAGACAATCTGGAAATTACCCAGGAACAGTCTCAATGAAACACTGTCTAGATTAGTAAGGTCTACGGGTATGTCTGTGAGGGACTATTTTGAGGAGCTGGAAAACTCACCTACTGTGGGTGACCAGGGAGGAGTAGAGAAAGGAGCTGAGCACAGACGAACATGCATTAATTCACTGCTCCTCACTAGATGTGGTAGGATGAGATGAAGCAAGTTCCTGCTGCCTTGACTTTCCTCAATGATGGACCATAACCTTGAATTGTGAGCCTAATAAACCCCTTTCTCCCTTAAGTCGCTTCTTCAGGGTATTTTATCACTGGAATAGGAAACAAAACTAAGCATGTTTATTGCAAACGGGACTGTTAAAACAGATGCACAAGCCATTCTGTTTGAATAAACTTTACAGAATATACATTCTTGTCTCTTTTTGACCTTTTAGCTAGGCATGTATACATTCTACCTGAGTTTTCTAAAAAAGCACTTTGCTTTAGGTAGAAATGGATAGAAGCAGGTATTTTATACCAAATTACAAACCGCCACCAAATGTTTTACATCATCTTCCCACTCTTTCCCATTCCTAGATTTAGAGAGCTGCAAAGAGACAGCTCTAATTATAAACACACTGTTAACAGCAAAGCAACGCTTAGCATATTGTTTAGCATGTTTACCATGCTACGATATATGTATTTTTTTTTAAGAAAAGGCATTGGGTACTATCTTCAAAATTCAGCTCTTCACTAACTCTAAACTTATGAAGTTTTAGTCCATTTAATCAATGTTTAAGAGCAGTGCCTCAAGGCAATATATTGACCACAAAGCTCAAAGCACCATGCTGCCTCTCAAACTCTCAAATGAGAATTCCCAGGGTCAAAGGCCTGGTGTGTCCTTGCATTTCCAGAAGTAGAGTGTGTTAACAGTTGGTGAATTCAGAATTTCATAATCAACCATACACGGAAAACCACCACTAAAAAGAAAAAGGACAACAATAAAAATGTTAACAGCTCCTGACTCTCTGAACAACTTCTACTTCTAGTTTTTTCCATTTCCCAAATTCCTTCACTATTATCTTCTACACTGGAAAAAATTAAATTCCTCTATGCTTGGTTGAAGCCAAGCTCAAACACTGCATACTTGTAATGGGTCTGTTCCAGCTTTGACCTGGAAGTACTACCCCCATTGAGGCTTCGGTAACTGTCACGCCTTAGGCGGGGCTGGGACAGGACCCCTGAAGACCAGATGGGCTGGCTCTCTTGGTTCCTGGATCCTGGACGCTGGAGGTAGATGGAGCAGAGTTCTCCAGAGAACACTGCTGGACTGCGCTTCACCTTTCCCAGACCCTGTAACCACTTGCAAGTTACCCCACAAAATAAACCTCCCTTTTAACTACGTGGAGTTGCCTAAATATTTCTACCAATACATACTGTTTTGCTTACTTCTATACATACAAAATTCTAGATGAGACAGAACTATGAAGACAGGAAACACTAGAGGCTGAAAGAACAACAGGGAAATGTAAAAGATGATCCAACTAGTCTCTGCTTTCATCCCACAGGGGTTGTGGCTGCACACAAGTGTCCGCATGTATCCAAACATTTAGAGTTTGTTTAGGAAAAAGGAAACAAAAGCTGTTTTGCAGTATGTAAATTAACCTCACTTTAAAAACTGAAGTGACAGAAGATGATGAGCTTTTGTGTGAAGAACTTTTTCAGCCAGGTATGATGGTGATACATGCCTGTCATCTCAGTTATTAGTTAAGAAAAAGGCATTCCTCCCCTTGGGAGACCTTTCCACCCTGGGGATTCTTCTTCATTTTTCCTTAATAAACCTACATTCGGGGAAAGCAAGGGAGAACAGACACAACCCAAGTGGATAATTTTACTGTATACCACTGGACTTCAAATCCCTGATTTGACATGAATCCATTACATGATAACAAAGTACGAATCTAGAATTTCCCTTTGTTTATTCTAGTTAGGGTTTTTCCCCTTTACCATTTTGATATTGCAGGGTCCTGAAAACTATCTTCTACAAAGTACACACACAATCGATTATGGAAGGAAAAATTGCAAACGTTCAAATACAAAAAAAAAAAAAAAAAAAAAAGTGGCTTAATGTCCTTCCCAACCTTGTCAAATCCCCATCTTATTCTGAATAAAAATGGGCGTAGTCCAGTCTAAGGAGAACCAGATTGTAGAGTATGAAAGGGGATCAATAAACTGGGCCCCTACAGTACAGACCTGTAATTTCAGCTACCCAAGGGGCTGGAGCAGGAGGATTACAAGTTCAAGGCCAGCATGAGCTACAAGAGTTGAGTTCAGGGCCAGTCTGAACAACTTACTGAGACCATCTCTCAAAGGAAAGAAAAAAAAAAGGGTCAAAACTGAGCTTGATGGTAAAAAGCACTTGCTTAGTATGTGCAAAGTTCTATGTTCAATCCTCAATACAACCATGACCAATTACTAACAATTCAGAATTCTAGCACGAATACTCACTGACAAAAAAAAAAAGACACCAAAAGATTGCAAAGAAACTTGACAAAAAGTCAAACTGTATTGTACTTCAGAGTGACACAAAATACAGTAAAAGTGGTTTTCTACTGTCTACACAATGCAAAATAACTTGTTAAAACACTTTCAATGTGCAAGGAAAAGAAATGCTTATCTGTATCACCTAAAAACTGCTAATAGTAAAAACCGAAACTTTTCCATAGGTGAGAAAGATGATGTATGATAATGAACCTTATCTAGCTAGGCAGGAAGAATTTTTTAAGTCCATTCCTTGTGGTTCAGCTAACCATATCTGCAACTTTTCAGAGAAGATTTCAGTAAGAACAAAGTAAGTATCTACTCAAATATTGCTTGGATCATTAGTTGACATCGAGTTTTAAACCTGGGACACTGACGAAGCCAGTTACATGCTAATAGGTCATATTAAAGATTCCAACAATCACTGTAACTCCTTTGTTGTCCACCTGAGGAAATGCACAATCACGAAATTAAAAAATAGATATTAGAGCTTTCAACCTTTGTCAACAAGCAGCTGCCTATGTTATTACCAGGTGACAAATCAAATCCACAGAGCTAATCAGCAAGCTAAAAGGGGGAAACAAAACACTGCAAATTAGGAAATCCTTAAGACCAAATAAAATCCTCTGGAATGAAGGATGTGCTGAAATGAAAGCCTGCGCGAAACCATTCTACGTACATACAATACCCATGCACTAGGAGAAGGAAGGCCTTCATAAAAATAGCCAAGACTCTCAAACATCTGAGATGCTGGCTCAGAGAATGACTGACAGACAACAGCTGGGGAGGTTTTGTATTGATTTGTGGAGATCCTCGCACACTTAGGAAAAAGGGAGTAAGGCGAAGGAAGGGGCCGTTCCTTTGGGAAAAAGAAACTATTCTGGCTTGGTGATCAACTTGGTGGGCCCCCACCCTTTGCACTGCAAGTCCCTTACAAATTCCTCCACTCCACTCTTTCCGTCTCCCGGCCCAGACTCCACAGCAATGCACGGCCTCCTCTCACAGGAAACAAAAAGAACCCCCGGGAAAGAGGATGAAAAAAAATAACTCAAAACAAAAGCCACCTTCCCCGAGGGCTGTGCAGAAACGCGTCCCTCCCACCTGCCGCCTGGCCTCGCTTCACCTTTGAACCCTTCCTCCTCTACAACTCGCTCTTCTCCCCGGCGGAGGGGCCGCCCGCTCCCCAGGCCGCAAGCACCGGGGCCCGGGGCCGCCGCCGCCGCCTGTCCGCTTTCCCCGCGGACGCCAAGGGTTC